GTCACAGAATAGCCATATCCCCTCCACTTAAATTCAACAGTGGTTTACATTAACTCTTTCTCCTTTTTTCAATATTTGCTGTATGGTTTCTTAAGCTGCCCTTGTCAGAGTACTTCACTCCTAAGGACATCTGTCATAACCACGGCATAAATATCACACCTAAGAAAACTCACCAATGTCTTAGTATTATTAAATACCCTAGTCTAAGGGTTAGCAAACCTTTTTCTGTAAAAGGTCAGGTGGTAAATATTTAGGGCTTCCCATATCATGTGGTCTCTGTCACAACTACTGGTACTCAACTCTGTTGTTGTTATAGACATTTTGTAAATAAGTGGACACAGCTATGTTTCAGTCATACTTTACAGAAAAACAGGCAGTGGCTTATTCTGGCCTACAGTTCCTATTTTGTTGATTCTTTCTCTGTTCCACTCAGTTTTCCTTAGTTGTCCCCAAAGAGATTTCTGTGATTTCTTTTTCCAGAAGGTGAATTTTTAACATTTTTCCACCTTAATAATTGTGTCTAGGGTGATTGATAAAGAATTCCTTGTAATTATTAACACAAGAGTTACTTGGGAACATCACAATTTTGCTCTAAAGATCTAAAGATATAGTTTAGAGGTTCTGTTGTGGTCATAAGCAGCTGGATTGTATTTCCTGTTAAATATTTGCTGCCACTTGGAAGTGAAAAGGCACCTTCTACAACCCATTCACACTGCAGAACAGGTCTGATAGCTGACCACAATACCATTTAGCTTACCGGTGTGCACTAGGGTAAGATAAAATTTTCTCCTAAGGCTTCTCTTTGAAGATTAAAGCATTGATGCTGCTGTTATTGTTAGTATTCTATTTTTAATATTTTGTAGTCAAAGGAGTCTTTCCCACTTCCCATTCTGATGTCAAGACTGAGTAAACCACTAGAAGGACTCAGGGACCTCTTTTCATGGTCATTGACTCATAGAGGCTGCTAATGTGGTTCTAGATTTTGTCTACCAGGTCAAGATTCCACTAGAAGATGATAACAAGATTGCATTCTATTTAAGCCCTTCTGTACAATTTCTTTTTATTAATCATATGTAGTACTCTTAAACATTTTTTTTTAAAGAGAATTGAACTCTAGATGTTTATATATTCAAATTGATTTAAATGGTTTGTTTTTGCTTTTGTTTTTATTTTCTGGTAACTGTAAAGATATTCCATGTAAGTGTACAATTTTAATAATTAAGACTACTAAAAGTAATGAAATAAGACTTTAAAATTTATTGTGAATTGTGTTAATACAGGGATATCTTTTCATCTTAGTTTACAATTTATTTTGAATTAGCACACAGTTTGAAATTTAATGAGCATAAAATCATTCCACTGTTTATAGAAAGGATCATTTCTTTTAGAAAAAGACTAAAAATAAAACCTAGTGATCTCGTAGACTTTTTTTGTATAAATTATAATAAATCTGAACTTCCTTTTTAATCTGATTATGTTCCTTTGTTTTAAAGTCAACAATTTAAATCTGTAAATGGAGTAAAATGTAGCATTTGAAAGGAATCACTAGATCTCTGTGTGTGTGGTATGGAATGATTACCACATGAAAAATCACATCACTGCAGAAGACATGAGTTCAGTCCACTTATGTTTCAAGAAATAAGACTATATATATATATATGTATATATATACACACACACATATATATATATGCTTTATAGCCAAATATATAAATGCATAGAACAGTACACAACAGATGTTAATATAGTGTACGTTTTAAATGAGGTAAAAATAAGAAAAATTTAAGATTTTTCTGGTAAAAAGTAGATGTCCCCAAATTATAGCTAAAATATTTGGACTTACCTATTGATCTAGAAATGGGATTGGCATATATGAAAGAGTTCTATTTTTGCAATTTTAGACTCCTGATAACTTTATGGCTTATAACTCTTGTATTTTTCCATTTTGAAATACAGAAAATTACCAAAGAAATGGATGACTTTCTACAAAAATTGAGGCAGAAGGTCAAAATCGGAGTAGTAGGTGGCTCAGACTTTGAGAAAGTGCAGGAGCAACTGGGAAATAATGGTAAACTGTACACTTCTAATTATGTTTTGGTAAAAGATTAACTTCCTAGGAGGATATTGAGAATGGTAGCTCTGAACCTTCACCCCTGCTTCCTTGTTTGGGGAAGCATTTTCACTGTCTTTATTTTCTTCTGTTTTTAATCCTATAAAACAAATTTCTAAAGTTGCTGGTAGATTCACCTAGAATGGTGAGTGTCTGTGGCCTTGCCCTTAATACTTATTGTCCCTATCCACTGCCCTTCTGGCCTCAAGCTCAGGCCCTGTCTCCTGACTGTCCTCACCCAAGCATTGCCTTGGGTGCTCTCTGAGGTTAGGGGCCTCCTCTCTATTGTCCTATCACAGTGTGTCCCAGAGTTCCCTTTGTCATAAGTCACCCAGGCTCCCCCCAAGCCTACTGAACCACAATCACCAGTGCAGGACACCAGGAAGCTGGAGATTTTTATGGGCCTTTCTTTGCAGATTCTGGCTCAATAGGTCTACAGGGTCTGGGAAACCTATTTTAGAAACTCTCCCACTCTGTGAAGATGAGGTCTTCTTTCAGAGCCCTCACTGGAGTTTAGCAGTTGGTGATAAGTATTAATCAAGAAATAGAAACAAGTTTCAATTCATTGCATTCTGAGTTTTGTTTTGGTTGCAGTGGTCGAAAAATATGATTATGTGTTTCCAGAGAATGGCTTGGTAGCATACAAAGATGGGAAACTCTTGGGTAAACAGGTAGGTTCCAAACTGGATCCAAACTGTCTCTACTATTAGTAAAATGTTTTCTGAAAAGATATTTGATACTGTCTGCCTCTGGAGAAGTATACTTTATTTGGAAGCTGAGGGGTGAGGGATGAATTCTCACCCTGTATTTTTTACATTTTGATTGTTGGACTATAGGACTATTACGTATCTAACTTGTTAACTTTATTTTTATAATTGTTTTTTAAGGATACATAGTCTAATATTTCTATTGTGATAGAGACTAGGGCAAGCTGCCTCACTACAAGCATGTTAAGAAATAATATGCAGCTCTTATTAGTATTAGGATTGTTCTGTCACATATATGAGAAAGCCAAAGTGGGGTATGTAAATTTTCTGTCAGAATCAGTATTTTGGTTGAATAAAAGCAGCAGCAATAAGCTCTTTAGGCCTTCCATTAAGCATTTGAATAATTATAATGATAATGAATACAAAAATCTTGACTAATGAAGCTGAAAGTGCTCTTGACTATGCTCTTAGCATTTTGCCTAATGTTTTCAACTAGAGAACAAAGAAAGAAGGAAAAAGGTGGTGGGTCGGTCACCCTCCCTGCTGTATCCACCTAGTGATCCTCAACTGCTAGTGGCTGAAGACCTTTTTGAAAATAACTCTCACTGAATTGAGTAACTCAAATATTTTCTTTATCGTAGAATATTCAAGGTCACTTGGGTGAGGCCCTAATCCAAGACTTAATCAACTACTGTCTGAGCTACATTGCAAAAATTAAACTCCCAAAGAAGAGGTGGGTTTGCCTTTAGCAAAGAGGCTTCAACAGAATATGGAGTAATGTCTTTTGGTGGGTGGTACTCATTTAAGTCCAAAGCCCAGTACTGAATAAAGAATCACTGGAAACCTTCTGCAAAGTCAGTGGTAGAAGAATGATTTTATAAAGGATAGCATGTCCACTTGATGGAAAGTGAAAACAATATGCCTTCAAAGACTACCAGTTAGGGGAAGTGCCTGTGAATCAGCAGTGTGAAAAGAGCAACATAAAGCCCAGACCTGGACATCTTGAACTGGGGACCAGCAGACCAAATCACACAGAAAGCCCAGTTTGGTTGTCCCAAAACATTAAGTCATGCCTGAATTAATTGCTGTCATTTAAAAGTCTGGTTTTCCATTTTGAAATGTCTGGAATTCTGGCTTCCATTACATCTGAAAAGCTGACAAATGAATGCCCTATTCCACATAACAGCACCACCCCACCTCCAGGCTTTCACAGGCCACTTCACTTATTTTTCTGATTTCTGTAGGCATTTGATTTGGGAACCTACCTCTTAGATCTGTTATCTCATTCCATTCTTAAATAACAACATAATATACATACAACCCACAGCTAGAAGGTTGGCAGGAGCCCTAGCTCAGGTGATTCCAGCATCGTCCCAGGCACCAAAAGGGTACAGGTTTGCTTCCAGATTGGGGAACATATGGGAGGCAACCAGTCAATGTTTCTCCCTTTCCATCTCTTGCTAAAATCAATAAACATATCTACTCATGTGAGGATTTTTTTTTAAAAGATTGGTAAGAAATGTACACATGTTAACAGCGGCTGTTTCTTGGTGGTGAGGGTACAGGTGATTTCTTTGAAATACTTTTCATTTTCTTGTCAGTGTTCTGCCCTTTATATGGAACACCTATGATTAGGGGGAGAAACATTTTTTAAATGGCAAACTTCAGGATAATGGTGTGCTTTTGAAACTATGAGAATTGATGGAATAAGTGCCCCTGCTCAACACATCCAATCAGTGGGCAAAGGGCTTTCCTTCTCAAACTGGTCCCATGGGATGAGACAGGCTGGACCCAGCTTGCAGCTGGGTGAGGACACATAGGGGCTCATTATCCTACTCTGTCTACTTTTGTATGTATTAGAAATTCTCCATAGCAAAAAGTAAAACTGTATCTTATCTCCCAGGTCAGTTTAGTCTCCATCTTAGACTAAGCATTAAGGAAGGATTTGAAAGATGAAGCAGAATGCTGTCCTCAGACAGGTACTATCTAATGAGGGAGACCCAGGTGCAGAGTTGTAATTCCAAATTAGCATGACATGCCTGGTGAATTTTGGAGGCAGAGCTGAGACCCAGCATTTGCCCTCAGTCAGCATTTGCCCTCATTTCTCAGCAGTAGGGCTAGTGTGCCCCATGTAGGTCAGGCAGGTGCAGGGAGGAGTTGACTGCTTGGGAGACAGCCTGCATTCTGATTTTTAAAGCAGAAGGCTGTCTAAGGTGCATCAGCTTCCCTTTGTACCATGGGAATGAGAGTGTACTTTGTCCTTCAGTTGGGGAAAGTAATTGAGCTCTTTTTCTAACTGTTTAGGACCTGCACCCCTAGGGTCACCCCGGGAATGATCACCAGTCCCCTCATTCCCTGGTGTACAGGTAGAAGAAGTAGGCTGGGGCAGGGTTGGTCTGTACCAACTCCAGGACCACCCAGATGGGGATTTTGAGAAAGCGTCATAGGCTCACATGTTACATCGCTGCAAGTTAAGCACAGCAGGGGAAAGGATCTGGTGGTTGCAATTTTACTGTTTTTACTTTACTTGATGAGTATTCACGGTTTCCCAGTATACAAATTACTTTTACATATACAGGAATCTTTGATTTTCACAAGACCCTGCAGAGGTAACCAGAGTGAGTGCTGATAGCCCCTTTGTGAGGCTCAGAGAGGGGCCCAGGGTCACATGGCCTAGCGAGAAGTGACATTGGCCTTCAGCAGGTCCTCAACTCTACACTTGGCCTGTGTCCTCCTAGTATTTACAAGTGGCTGGTGGCTAGACATCAGGGCTGTGTGACTGAAAGAGCAGAAAGAGTCCAGGGGAAATGTTTCATTTCCCCTGGCCTCGTAGGCATCAGTGTTTAGAACTGGAAGACACTTCAAAGTACATAGTCTGTCACAAAACACTTCAGTTGCATTGTCAGAATAAATAGCTTACAAGCTGTTTGAGTTTTTAAGAAACTTTTTTTCCTGGCTGGTGTGGCTCAGTGGATTAGATTAAGTGCCAGCCTGCGACCCAAAGGGTCACCGGTTCAATTCCCAGTCAGGGCACATGCCTGGGTTTTGGGCCAGGTCTCCAGTTGGGGACATACAAGAGGCAACCACCAGCTGATGATTTACTCTTTCCCTCCCTTCCCCTTTCTCTAAAAATAAATAAATAAATAATGTATTTTTTAAAAGAGTCTTTTTGAGGCTCAAAGTGGAAACATGGTGGGGAAAGGTATTTTGTTTTAACATATTCAGTTAAGGTAACTTAAAAATTGTTAGGCTGTTCTTGCTTTCTGTGATCAAATCAACCCCTTGAGTAAGAGTCTGCCAATGGGTAACTTGCATTTCCTCAGTTATTAGAGAGGATTATGGGGTGGTTCTCAGTACCTTTTCCTGTGTCACGTCGCTTGGTAAAATCAGTGTCTTCGAGAGGTCACTAGCAAGGTTGTCTGAGACAGATTTCCAAACTCTCAGGGAACTTGGAGAGCTGGTCATCATTTTCATAGCTTTGTATTAACTATGAAATTCTCAGCCCAATAACAGCACTGTCCAACAGAAATAGAATGTGAGCCACACATGCAGTCTTTTTTAAGGTTTTATTTTTTATTTTTTTTAGAAGGAGAAGAAGTGAGGAAGAATGAGAGGGAGAAAAACATTGCAGAGTGAGAAGAACATTAATTGGTTCCCTCTCACACTCCCCCAACCAGAGACCTGGCCCTCAACCCAGACTTGTGTCCTGACCAGGAATCAAACTGGGGATTTAATGGTCTACACAACAATGCCCAACCTGCTGAGCCACACCTGGGAGGCCCCCACTTGCAATTCTAAGTTTTCTGTAGCCGTGTTAAAAAGAGAAACAAGAAATTAATTTTAATATGTTTCACTTAACCCCATATATTCCAAATATATTTTCTTTGCAATATATTCCAAATTATTTTAACATAGTCAGTATAAAACATTATTGATGATTATATTCCTTTTTCCCACTAAGTGTTTGAAATCTCATCTCAATTCAGATGAGCTGCATTTCAAGGCTCAGTAGCCACATGTGGCTCATGGCTGCCATATGGCTCAGCACAGCTCTGAAATGTAGATCATACCAGCCTCTGTCTTTTGGAGTTGCCCAACTTTTTAGCCTAGTTCTCTATCTATTATGTTGTACAAAAAATAATGTACCTCAGGAACCTGTCCCCTTTTTCTCTCCAGGGGTACTTTCATTGAATTCCGAAACGGAATGTTAAATGTGTCCCCTATTGGAAGAAGTTGCAGCCAAGAAGAACGCATTGAGTTCTATGAACTCGACAAAGTGAGTTTTTCTGACATATCCTGGTTTAGTGAAGATAAGAGGTACCATTTTGTGGCCATAGTTAAAGTGTGCAACGCCGCAATAGACAATCATTATCTTTTTGTTTTTCTCAGAAAGAAAATATAAGACAAAAATTTGTAGCAGATCTGCGGAAAGAGTTTGCAGGAAAAGGCCTCACATTTTCCATAGGTATTGTATGTTCAAATGGGTTTCAAGCTTTGCCGGCAGTTTGTGGGTGGCTGGTGGGTGCTTGAAATTGCACTGTGCCCACTTTTAAGGTGGGCAGGAGGATTTAAAGAGAAGTCATAATTAGTGCAGACTACTGTCCTGTGTAGTGGGCTGGGGAAGAGACTTGCCCAGCTAGGAAATGACTTCTGGGCTGCTGGGCTTAGTTCTAAGTTCTTATCCAGCAAGAGACTTCCTCCCTGCATTTCTCATGGTCAAAATAAGAACATCTTGCTCGATGCCAAATAATAACTTATCCTCAGCCCTTGCTGGTATGGCTCACTGGATTGAGTACCGGCCTGCAAACCAAAAGATTGCTGGGTTAATTCCCAGTCGGGGCACATGCCTGGGTTGCAGACCAAGTCCCTGGTTGGGGGTGTGCGAGAGGTGGCCAATCAATGTATCTCTTACACATTGATGTTTCTCCCCCTCTCTTTCTCCTGTCTTTCCCCTCACTTTAAAAATAAATAAAAATTTTTTAAATCTTTAAAAAAAAGAACTATCCTCACACCTTTGGGCAGAAGATGTTAGTGAACTCCATAGCAGAGAAATAGGATGAGAGCCTCCTAGATATATTAGAGTTAATATGTTCTGAAATCATGTAGTATTTGCAAAAGGCAAGGAACCTTAGCAGTCAGCTCAATTGTTTCCACAAATCAAGAAACTGAGGCCCAGAAAGGAGCGAGGCCTGGCTAATGTAGCTTTATTGGATTGAGCTCAAGCCTCCGAACCAGAGGGTCGTTGGTTTGGTTCCCAGACTGGGCGCGTGCCTGGGTTGCAGGCCAGGTGTCCAGTCGGGGGGCACATGAGAGGAAACCACACATTGATGTTTCTCTCCCTCTCTCCCTTCTCTCTAAAAATAAATAAATAAAATCTTTAAAAAAATAGAAAGAAAGGAGCAAGTGACTTGTCTAGACTCACCAGACTTTTATTAGCCATGATAGACCAGCACTCAAACATTTCTCGTGGCTGAGACAGACCTCTTCCCTCAGCACTGATGTCTCAGGCTTGTTTTTTGGTGGAATATGCCTGTCAAATGATTTAAGCGAGCTGATTTCTCCTGTCAGTGCCTATGAGTCATCACTTAAAGCCCTTTCACTTTACTTTCTCTAATAAATGTGCAGTTGTGGGGAAATGGGAATGCAGAGGGATGGTGTATAATAGATGAATGGGTGGGTTTTTAAGTATTTTTGAACTGTGAGATGAACATCTTTCTGTGACAAAGCTGTGAAGGGGATTTTGTTGCCTGTAAATCACCTCCCATTTGATTTTCATTTTTCTTTCTTTTAAGATTTGGTCTCCTTATCTTTAGAGAGGGGAAGGGAGGGAGAAAGAGAAGGAGAGAAGAAACATCAATGTGTGCTTGTCTCTTCACATGCCCCACACTGGGGACCTGGCTCAAAACCAAGGCATGTTCCCTAGACTAGGAATCGAACCAGTGACCCCTGGTCCACAGGCTGGCACTCAATCCAGTGAGCAA